TAGTATGTAGGATAGTTATCAAGGTTTATTCTGAGTACCTAGTGTGGTTTATTAGTATATAGGATAGTTATGAAGGTTTATTCTGTGTACCTAGTTTGGTTTATTAGTATATAGGATAGTTATGAAGGTTTACTCTGAGTACCTAGTGTGGTTTATTCGTATGAAGGTTTATTCTGAGTACCAAGTGTGGATTATTAGTATATAGGATAGTTAGGTAGGTTTATTGTTTGTAGGATAGTTAATGAAGGTTTATTGTGTAGTTTACTGGCATATAGGATAGATAGGAAGGTTTAGTGCATGGTTTACTAGTATATAGGATAGTTAATGAAGGTTTAGTGTGTGGTTTACTAGTATATACAGGGTGTCCCAATAAACATGGGAATTCAGTGACGAATTTAATATCGTCTTTTTAAATAATTCTTTGATTTAGTATATTGATACCTACTGAGAAAGCTGTAATCTGTAAGAGTTTCGTCTGCTATGTTCACATTTTGTTTGTTTATGTTTTGACTGCAAACGGTTGTACTTATTAAAACAAGAAAATTACAGTATACAAACAGAGTAAACTTGTCCTTGTCTTCACTGTTCATCTTGCAGAGACATTATAGACACATCTTTAAAGTCTTTTACCCTTTTCATAAAATACACTTTAGCAGACATAAAAATATTATGGCTTTTAAAATTAGGTATTACAATGCTAATTCATAACAAAGACGATATCGAATTCGTCACTGAATTCCCGTGTTTTTTTGGGACACCCTATAGGATAGTTAGGAAGGTTTAGTGTATGGTTTACTAGTATATAGTATAGTTAATGAAGGTTTAGTGTATGGTTTACTAGTATATAGGATAGTTAGGAAGGTTTATTGTATGGTTTACTAGTATATAGGATAGTTAGGAAGGTTTAGTGTATAGTTTACCAGTATATATGATAGTTAATGACGGTTTAGTGTATGGTTTACTAGTGTGTATAGGATAGTTAATGAAGGTTATAGTTTTTTCCCTTTCTAATTGGAAAATTAGTAAGGTATGCAGTTTAATTACCTGTTACATTGGATACATATGGAAGGTTTAAATTTAGGAAAGTATACAGAATAATTTCACCTGATGCATTGGATAGGTTAGGAAGGTTTCTAATGATCTTCCCTTGCAAGCAGGTTTCTTCTCCAATCTCTGGAGCAAGGTTCCAAACCTAAATTAGTTTTTTTCATCTTTGCCAGTACCAGAGCCTGAAATTTAAAGAGTATCGTTGAACCGAGTTTCCTTTTTGTGGTGTCAACATTTGTGTAGATTTTTATTTAAGAGATGAAAAACAAAACAGAGAATATGAAAAAAACTAAATAAAAAATATTTCATAACAAAAATATTGATATCCACAAAACTGACTTCCCCCTTTGTGAAACCCAGGTTCCATTACTGGTTTTCATAACGATAATCTGATTCTGTTTTAAGTTTTTAACTCAGACCGAGCAAATTGTATTAGCAGTAAACATGCAGACTATGCTCGCGGGATTATCGTGGTATGTGTAGAAAAATGGACTTTTAAACCTATCCCGATTGAATTTTTTCCCTTACAGTTGAGATGGAGAGTGTGATACTTGTTCATTGTTCTTAGTCCAACTTTTCAAGGCCTTTTCATTAAAAAACAAATTAGACCCCTAATTTTAATGGTTGAGGTAGTAGGAAGAGTTTAACAATGTGTAAAAAGTACTTTGAGAAAATGAAAGGGGGTATAGGATTATGGCGAAAATAATCCATACAAATTCAGAAAGCTGCAATATACAACTCAGATCGTAAAAAAAATTATTTATTTTCAAACAAATCATTCAGATATTACAACCTATAGTCATCGATTATTTTTCGACGCATTCATATATAGCTAATATTTCATAATATTTTTTATTTGTTTTGTATACAATGCATTTAAAACGCCGAAATAGTTGGCCGCCAGGTGTCTCTGCTCTCGGTGCTTTGCAAATGATTATACGTGGCAGAGACACGTAGCGGAAAAAACGTCGTTTTAAGTATACTGTATATAAAACAAAAAACAAATTTAATGAAATATTAACTATATACGAATACGTATACGAGTCCTATATTGAAACTTTCTGAATATGTATGTACACTACGTTCTTCAGTAAAGTCGTTCTTAGCAACTTTCTCATTATAGAGCAACAGATAGAATTAGTAGCGATCAAAAGCGCTTATTTTTTGCCACAAGCCCATACCCCTTTCATTTTTCGCCCACACTCCATTTAAAGTGATTAAAGGAACGAAGACCTGCCAATAACTTTCTTATACTTAAAAATTATAGGACAGCAGTCTTAAAAATTATAGGACAGCAGTCTTAAAAATTATAGGACAGCTGTCTTAAAAGCTTCTTTTATTTACCCTTCAACATGAAAGTGCATACTTACTGGCCGCTTTGTTTACATTCCGTCAAAACCTGAAATAATAACATTTTTTTCAAACTATGCAAAACAATTGAGAATATAGGAATATAATCTTTACAGCAATGTTTTCCGAGACTATATGAACCTAATTCAACAATGTAATTACATTTTGATTTAACCCCCTCTTTCCCCCGTTCAAGAATTGTCTATATAAATGTTGGTGAAATTTAATTTTAAGCTATCAATGTTAAATATAAAATTTGTTCGGATTTTAAATTTTGAATTGGCAGATTTTCAGAGCACTGGAAAACAGTTCTACGAATCCAGAAAGATTGGAACAATTTGAAATTTGGATTTGAATTTGAATTTCAATTTGAATGCTATATTTTTAGTAATTCACTCTTTTATGCTTTTCGTTATAGAGAGCAAATGGTATAACGAGAGCATAGAGAGTATATACCTGGAGACTATAGTGGAGGTTTCTCACATACTCCTGGTATATAGAGAGCATAGGGAGTATATACCTGGAGACTATAGTGGTGGTTTCTCATATACTTCTGGTATACAGAGAGCATAGTGAGTATATATATATATATACTTGGAGACTATAGTGGTGGTCTCTCATATACTCCTGGTATATAGTGAGCATAGTGAGTATATATATATATATATATATATATACTTGGAGACTATAGTGGTGGTTTCTCATATACTCCTGGTATATAGAGAGCATAGGGAGTATATATATATACCTGGAGACTATAGTGGTGGTTTCTCACATACTCCTGGTATATAGAGAGCATAGGGAGTATATACCTGGAGACTATAGTGGTGGTTTCTCACATACTCCTGGTATATAGAGAGCATAGGGAGTAACATATCAAACAGATCGCCTAATAATAAATAAACAAATTTTATAATAATAATAAAGAAGTTTTTTTTTTGATTATTTCAACACCAATAACAACAGACTTTTAATAGTTTCTTCTTAAAAAACATGTGTAAAAAAAACAAAGAATTTACCCATAGATGTTTATTTACAATTTCATTTTTAAGCTTAAGAAATGGAGAAGAGAAAGCTGATTTTTTATTTAACTGATAAATTACCTGTATCCTTCAAAATCTGTTAATATTCTTCACACAACAATTTTACAAATAGAGATTGAAAAAAAAACTTTTTAAATGTTTATGTTATGTTTACAATAGTTAGATGCAAATTTGAGACATTTCTAATATTCTAAACTGCATCAAAGGCTGCAAAAAGTGTAGCTAACTTGAAAAGCAAAACTAAGTAGATTTTTTAAAAAATCTAGAATAAAATGTTCATTTTGTTTTATGAATAAATACGATGGATTAAAAAATATATTTTTGAATCGTATGTTTCACATTTTGTTTCGGAAAAGGTCAAATTTTTGAGTGAACTGTTATTAAAGATTTCTACTAAAACTTGTGCTGTATGCTCAATTCTAATTTAGAGGAACTGCACACGTTGTAATTTTTAAATACAAGTAATCACTTCCTCTCCAATTCACAACGGTATCTTATAAACGTTTATTTGCAGGGTGTCATTATAAACGTTTCTCTGCAGTAGGGTTTCCACGAAATGGCTAAATCTTTTGCGCAAAATTTGCGCTATTTTCGCGCAATTTTTTTTTTTTGCGAACTTTTGCGCTATTTTTGCGCATGCAACGCAATGAGTTTTGCGCGATTTTGCGCTATTTTTTTGCGCAATTTGCGCAAAACCGGAAATATTTTTTTGCGAAAGTTGCGCATAAAACGAAATTTTAGTTTTGCGCAATTTTTTTTTCGCAATTTGCGCAAAACCGCAAGTTTTACGCAAAATGTAACTTTTTAGGCACATTGTCAAAAATTGATATTCTAAGCTTAGAATTAAACAACTGAAGATTTATTCCATACATAAAAAAATATTAACATACGAGTATGATAACGATTATACTACACTCAATTGGTTGCTTCCAGTAACAAAAAGTTTAAATTAAGGGACCAAAATTAATAAAATAGAAATTAGAGAGTGTGAAACTTGGCAATATTTTAANACCTTGAAAATACAGGTTAAGATATCGTCAGTTTTCAACCTTGAAAATACAGGTTAAGATATCGTCAGTTTTCAACCTTGAAAATACAGGTTAAGATATCGTCAGTTTTCAACCTTGAAAATACAGGTTAAGATATCGTCAGTTTTCAACCTTGAAAATACAGGTTAAGATATCGTCAGTTTTCCACCTTGAAAATACAGGTTAAGATATCGTCAGTTTTCCACCTTGAAAATACAGGTTAAGATATCGTCAGGTTTCAACCTGGAAAAGCAGCAAAAATCCACAGTTTACATTCATAGTTAATCTACAGTTAAAAGTAATTAATTTTCACATCGAAAAAAAAACACCAATCGGACAATTTTGTAAAGGGTACCGTTGTGAATCAGACATGCCACTTTATCAATGAAAAGTCAGTTGAAAGTACGTGTACAGTTCCTTTAAGTTATGAGTTCATGCATGTCTGAACTATGTTGAATACAATGTCCAAGGGGTACAATGAATACATCTGACTAAATGTATTTGTGCGAAGTATACAATGCCAGAATGATGAAAAAATATCCTTGAGAAAAAAAGAACACTCCTTACCTCATTGTGCTATAGAAAATTATAAAAATGGGGGGAAAAGGGTGCATGCGTGTTTTAAAAATCTATATTAAAAATAATTTCTACAGTTCGTATATACAGGCCACTTTCTAAGCTTTTCAAAATACTTTGCAGAAACCCTGGGTTTTTATATCAAGGAATGAGGAGTAAGGTGTCTATTCCTAACCGCCCCCCCCAAATTTTTTTTTTAACAATTCTCATAAGACAGAAAAATGTGTTCAATTTCCTTCTGACATTGCATATAGAGTAGAGGTATATGTATATACGTGGTATCTACGGTGTTTTATGTTTTTGTTTCTAAAATTCAAAATAATGTAGAAAGTTAAGATTAATATATTGTGTAGATTAAATACTGTTTTTAATGCAGGCAAAGCAGCCATTTAATAGGATTCCTTGTACTGTTAATAGATGTGCATTTTTCAGAAATAAATAATTTGTAGATACTTTTTAATATTCTCAAATAAGAATATTATGATCTAGATTTTTAATAATGGTTAAAATCTTTGACAAATCCTACCAAGGATTTAATGCAAGGAAAGTTATTTAAGAGGTGTACGCATCTTTTGTACTGCAGTGTACTGTCTCATGGGCGGTAATGTAAACACAAGACGGATGTCGAAGCCTGACATGGGATCCATCTTTCACATAAAAAATCAAAGAAATATTCTGGTCATAGGAAACTATTATGTGAATTATCAAAATTATCAAAATTCAATGCTTTTAACCTCCTCGGATACTAAACGAACACTGATGCATCTATTCTTGTTTACAAATTCCGCCCAGAGAGAACTGGCTTCAATATGTACGCAGAGTATACGCAACTGCAATTAATTTTCCTTGCATTACATTCTTGCTTAGTACCACAAAATAATTGTACGAGCTAGCTGAAATGACAAAAAAAGAGGTCAGAAATTTTGTCTTGCAATTGACCAAGAAGAAGAAATAAAAATTATTTTCCCGAATTACGTTTTCTAGTGGATTTAGAATTTAAGCTTTGCAGATTAGTACTTATAAAAACACAAGTTTAAACCTCTTTTAGCTCAAATTTAAAAAAAAAATTTAACTTGATTTTTTGTCGCTAATTGATATGCTACAAATTCAAAGATGATAATTTTATATGTTGCTCATTATCTTCTATTTAAAGGGACTGTAAGCGTAATTTTAAGTGATCCTCCATGCAAAGATGGCTATGCCCGAATTTCAATGATACCCTTACAATTAAATAGAATAGCTTACAAGCTTTATCCGATCAAGTTTCAATTAGATATCAATGTTTTTGTTTCTTTAAAAGTGTCTATTTTCATTTGCGGTTTCTCTGCGAAATTGACTTGCGCATTTCTTGTTCATAAGAATTAATGGAGAAACTAACAGAAATAAACACTGTTCGAGTAATAAAAACGACGGTATCTTCCAAATTTTTAATCAGATTAAAGTTTCAAGGGTACCATTGCAAATCGGGCATTGCCATCTGTACACAGAGGGCCACTTGAAATTACGCTTACAGTCCCTTTAAAGGTAAAGTTACTGTTTTGAGAATCCAATTTTACCATATTGCACATCTACTAACAGTAATTGTGTATGAAACTAACTAGATAGAGCTGGGCTTTGAGCTCATTAATATTTTTTTATAGGTTAAAAAAAAATTAGTAAGCCTTCATTTTTCAAACAAAAAGTAGTCAAATATGTTTGTTGTTCAAAATGTTGAAAATATTTCAGTTTTGTTTATATTTATTTGTATTTATATCCTGATACCTAAATACTTGGATACTCAAATGCCAGTTAAATAAGATATTTTGATATTTGGATACCTGGATACCCGGATTCCTGGATACCTGGATACCTGGATACCTGGATACCTGTATACCTGGATACCTAGATACCTGGATACCTGGATACCTGGATACCTGGATACCTGGATACCTGGATACCTGGATACCCAGATACCTGGATACCTGGATACCTGTATACCTGACCCAGATACCTGGATACCTGGATACCTGGATACCCAGATACCTGGATACCTGGATACCTGTATACCTGGATACCTGGATACCTGGATACCTGGATACCCAGATACCTGGATACCCAGATACCTGGATACCTGGATACCTGTATGCTGGATACCTGAATACCTGGATACCTGGATACCTGGATACCTGGATACCTGGATACCTAGATACCTGGATACTTGGATACCTGGATACCTGGATACCTGGATACCTGGATACCTGGATACCTGGACACATGGATACCTGGATACCAGGATACCTGGATACCTGGATACCAGGATACCTGTATACCTGTATATCTGTATAACTGGATACCTGGATACCTGGATACCTGGATACCAGGATACCAGGATACCTTGATACCTGGATACCAGGATAACTGGATACCTAGACACCTGGATACATGGATACCTAGATACCGGGATACCAGGATACCGGGATACCAGGATACCTGGATACCGGGATACCGGGATACCGGGATACCTGGATACCTGGATACCAGGATACCTGTATAGTGTATACCTGGATACCTGGATACATGGATACCGGGATACCAGGATACCTGGACAACTGGATACCTGGAAACCTGGATACCTGGATACCTGGATGCCTGGATACCTGGATTCTTGGATACTTGAATACCTGGATACGAGGATAACTAGCTAAATATATTGATGCCTGGATACTTTAAGATACCTGAATACCTGGATACTAGAAAACTAGGATAACTAGATACAGCTGGATACTAAATATTTTAATGTTTCCAAAACTGTTTCAGATTGATATTAAATGTAGAAATGAGAAGCCCAGCCCTAGAAGTGAATGTTAGTAAACCAAGCGAGTGAGTGAGAGAGTATATGAAGGACAAAATACAGGACGGACTAGAGCACCTTTGTTTAACCTTCCTTCCTCGAGCAGCTATAACCAACACCTTGGTTACCCCTCCCCCCCCCCTTCACTTCATTAACTATTCTATTTACGCTTTTTAAATCACTGCTAATAAGAAAAACCTGTCTAAAATTTGACAATGAAACATTTTGCGTCTTTTTGGGCTAAACAAAATTTAAAAGAAGGTAGTCAAACAATTAGTTTTTTTTTTCATCTTCTAGCGCATGAAACTAAAACTTAAGAAGACTCTAAGAAGACTCAAATAATGAGAAAGCCCCCCCCCCCTTTAAAAAGTATGAAGGTATTGGTAAAGCTGCTGTTTGTCGAGTTGTCCCGGGGTATCCATATAGTCCCATAGTCCCTTGAGTACTGCATCCTGGGTTATACTTAGAAAGTGGAATAGAAGCGCACCTAGGGACGTACCCAGAACCAAGGTCGGCCATGAATCCATCCTGGCGGTCAACCCCTTCAGGAAGATCTGGTGCAGGAACAGCACAGTCTCGGAGTTCAAGAATATAGAGTTGATGTCCTCGTGCGAGCAGGGAGGACTTTTCGAGCTAGCCGCCATCTTGAAATATAATAATGTTTTGCTAGCCGCCATCTTGAAATATAATAATGTTTTTAGTTACATATTTGTATCTACAGTTAAACCCTAAATAAGCCATACATAAAAGAATTCATCAAATGTCGTATTCTTCACTTTCTGATAATGGAATGTTGTAGATATTTAGTTTTTTTAATTAAATGATTATATGAAGCTCTTTAAAACTGTTCCCGCATATTCATTGTTTTTATTTTTTTTCGCAAATACTGAAAAGCCTATTGAAAAATTGTCAAGACGACATTTGATAAATTCTTAACTGTAGTAAAATCAAAGCTTACAATCTTAGACATTTTACAATAGAACTTTAAATGCCAAAATTATTGGATATTATCTTGAGGCATTGCAGATGATATCTTCAATTGATATAACAATTTGTCTTAAAGCGCAAAAAAAACTATATTTTCAGATATGCTATTTCGCAATCTATTCTTTATATATAATATATATAAATTCTCCAAATAATTAGAAAATTCCTTAGGAGGGAGGGAGGGAGGGGGGAAGCAATTATGTAGATATTTAGAATTCTGTAAAGTTAAAATAAATTTAATGTTAAACACTATAAACAGAATATGAATTTGTATTTAACATTTTACAGAACTATTTAATGATTCACACTCTAGTTGTTAAATATAAATATTAAAATTGTGCAAAATTCTCCCGGTTTACTGTTAATAAAATGTAAAATAACAGCTCTTTATATCTCAAATATAAATATATTTATGATTAAGTTACATGATAGAAATATCGAAAATCTATTTTTGAAAATTAAACGTTAAAAGAGAAAACATCACGAAAAAAAGAAAAATGTTGTTGGAAGCATGAAAAGTCTTATTCAACTTAAAAAATGTTACAGACAGGCTAAAAAATTGTAAATGTATATGAGGAAAAGAACAATAAGTTTTAATTATTATGAATGCTTTAATGACAAATAACTTATTAGCTTCGGATAGAATAGAAGCAACCGTATTTTGGTCAGCATTGCTCATTACTCATTATGGCGTGGAACTTTGGAAAATTTTGAAAATATAAAATCAACTTGGGGGTGGGGTTCGAACCCCCCCCTCCCCCGTTATGTTCAGGTGAAATATAGAGGCTAATGGAGAAAATCAACTAAGTTTTTCTCAGACAGATTTAAAATTTCATTCTAAAAATCACAGTAACGATAACAAAGAAACAGAGTTTTTGCCACAAACTCAAATTTTCTAATCCTTATATCTTTGAAACATGATGGTGTAAACCTAATATTCCAAACTTAAATTATTTGGTCTGACAGAATTCATGGTTTGAAATATCGAAGGTCTACGACATTGGGTTGCAAAGATATATGGATTAAAAAGATAAGGGGGTTTGAAAATCAAAGTTTGTGGCAAAAACTCAGTTCCATTCCGCCTTCTCCCCCTACATAATACCTGCAATTGCACCTCTACTGAATAATGTTAATTTCTAACAATAAATAAGACTTTTAGTAGCAAAATTAATTAGAATTTCTGATGATGTACTTTATTAATAGAAATTTTTTAAAGAATATATTTCTGTAGAGTTTTAAAATAAACTCTACTCGCTCTAATCTTAACAAAAGGAATAAGCTCTTTTTTTGCGGAATTGCTGACGCTTAGTGACCTCCTAACTTCTCTAGTTTTTTAATCACACATCCGCGATGGACAAATCGAATTTTTCTGTTTGTCTAGAATTTCCAAAATCGTATTTTTTTCTTATTAATTATTTTTTTATGCAATGAATTGTTTTTAAACACCTTCTAAGTTTCTAACCAAAATGAAATTAACTTTGGTTTTGGCAGTAAATTTTACTCGACCAAAAAGAGATTTAAACGGAAATATGCCGAGACCGGACTGACTATGAAGAGTCACCAGGCATTGACCCTTGTTTTTACTTTCCAGTCTTTTTTTGCGGCGCTTTTGCGAAATTGTAACTTTGTTTGTGCAACTGCCCTGTATGGTGTTTTTATTTTTGGTACTTCAGTGGACCAAAAAAAAATCCGCGATCCTTTTTTTCTCTCAAAATCAAAAGTTCAGAAAAACAAAGATGAGTAAATAAAATAAATTCGCAATTTTCTGTTCTGGTATAATTTTTACGGACAAATTTTTTTTCAATGATTCTTTAGGTTTCAAATGAACAACGTATATTTAATACTTTAGGAAGAGAGGAACTAGAGAATTTAAATAGCTTTTCCTTAAAAATTAGACCAGAACTAAAAATTGCAAATTTTCTTATTGCAATTTTGCTAAATTTCTGTGATTCTTTGATTCAATCTTTAAAAATTTTAAGATTTGGATAAACATAATTTATAAACACATTTTTGCTTTTCTGAACTTTTGAATTTTAGAGAAAAAAAGGTTTGCGGATTTTCTTTTGGGCCATTGGAGTACCAAAAAATACAAATTTTCAAAGAATATTGAAAAAAACACCATACAGGAGAGTTGCACAAAAAAACGTACAAATCACACTTTTTTTGACCCACCCTGTATATAACGCAGTTAAGCAATCACAATATAGGTGTAGGAGTTATATATATCTACGTACATTGGATGAGTTAATTTCAAGACATGATTTACATATTTACTACTGGGAACATTTATAGGTATGGACAATATAAAACGTTATTTGCAATGGGCCTCTATATTTGCTACATGCAAAGAGAAAATGTTCACAATTTTAATGGTCACGAGAAGCGCCCTGAAAACTAGTGATTTATAACGATATAAAACACACTAAAGAGTTTGTTATTGTCGTCTTCTTATTTCACAATTTTATGGGCCTTACTGTACACATCTATAAACGGTGTGTCAGAAAAATAGTATCAGAGTGTTTGTAGACGAGTGAGCAGAGTGTAAACAGCCATGTAAAATTGCGTCTACTATCATTATTTTGTAAAAAAATTAAGTTAAAAAATAAATGAAAAAAGATATTACCTTAAATGGTCTCAGAAAACAGGAAATAAGAATTTCCAACTGTTCAACATATTCCTCTTCTGCCTCAACCATTCGAAACACAAGACTAAATATTAATATTCGGAACACAAGACTAAATATTAATATTCGGAACACAAGACTAAATATTAATATTCGGAATACAAGACTAAATATAAATATTCGGAATACTAGACTTATATTGATATTCGGAACACAAGACTAAATATTAATATTCGGAACACAAGACTAAATATAAATATTCGGAATACTAGACTTATATTGATATTCGGAACACAAGACTAAACATTATTCGGAACCCAAGACTAAATAATAATATTCGGAACACAAGACTAAATTTTAATATTCGGAACACTATTTTTTTAAAGTCTATGCGTATTTTCTAAAGGAAATAAAACTCGATAGTGTTGAAAACCTTTGATATTTCACGCATAGATTATTTAATCTAACAGAATTTGTAGTTTGAAATATTTAAGGTCTACTACATTAGATTGCAAAGATATAGGGACCAGAAAATCAGAGTTTGTGGCAAAAACTCATGTGTTTTTATAACTTCAAATTAAAAGCAATCTATAATGCAATGAAAATTATTCATTAACTACAGAAACAGGCCCTCTTGAATGTGTTGTCAGCCCACTGTAGCCCTCACGTAAAACTAACTATAATATTAAAATGTATCCTGGCTGTATTGGAATATTTATACATATTTCTCATTAAAAAACTGTCAAATATGGCGTAAAAGACGTTTCACACAAATCTGCCCCTTTAGTAAAAGAAATTATAACCTATATGAAACATAAAGTTTGACCGCGTCAACCTTTTTGCACCAGCTAGTCCTGTCCATAGAGCTAGGTACAGTAAAAACTGGGACCGGAAAAGTTGACCCGGCTCGGAAATTCAAATGTACTACGGCTGCCCGTGCTTTATTCTTAAACGTTTGAAATACATAACCGGACCAGAAGTATAAAATACAAAATACAAAAATCTACATTCAATGGGTGAAAATGGGTTTAGAGAAATAAGATATAACCTAAAGAATAAAAACTGCTAAATTAAAAAAAATAATAATTTCTACCATGGTGTTTGTATCGGTGTATGGTATTAAATAACCAAACTCTAAATTGATTTAGAAAATTAAAAACTTTCATCTGAAGTGGAAAGATCCAATAAATATGATGACGATTGGGTTAGGGATTATCAACCTGGGAGGCTGGGAGGGGGGAAGGGATCATTCATTCGTAGAATATTTGATTTTGTCCTTTAAAATATATTTAATTAACTGAGGGGAATATTTTCAAATTAAGAGATTAATCGGTTCAATTATCTTTTTATTTTAATTTTTTTTAGAACCTTAAATGTGGGAAGTGATTATAATTCAGTGTTTAAATAAAAATTATAAATAAACTGTATATACACACATATAAATATATATATATATATATATAAATATATTCTGGAAAAAACTATAGAAGAACTATATCGGAACCTATGTTTAATATTAAATATATATTAGTAGATATAAAACATGACCCAAGGGAGTAATTCGAATAACAAGATTAGATAAATGAAAAAAGGGGCAAACGAAGATAAGTTTATAAAAAAAATAAAATAAAATAAATAGTACACTTGGTTAGGTCCTAATAAAAACAAACTGGGCCTTGCGATCACAATATATATTTTTTTTTAATAGCTTTTAAAATCAAAGCGCGTTTGAATTCAAATATGATATAAATAGCATAACTATTTTTATCAGGCTAAAGGTTTTGATGGGGTCACAAAGAACACTTTCATTATGAAAGTTTTGAATCTTTTATATCAATCAGTTTGATCGTAGAGGAAAACGTGTGTTCATTGAAAATATTGATATTTTTTAAGAACTGATTAAAATACATCATTCTACGATGAATTGAGGAACATTATAAACTTTTATAAACTTACCAATTCCGTTTCCGCATACTTTCGGCGTGGGGTGATTTAATATATTCATCTACAATCTGCTTCCATCTTCTCCTAAACATTTATAGCATTAAAGGGACTGTACAATCTGCTTCCATCTTCTCTTAAACATTTATAGCATTAAAGGAACTGTACAATCTGCTTCCATCTTCTCCTAAACATTTACAGCATTAAAGGGACTGTACAATCTGCTTCCATCTTCTCTTAAACATTTATAGCATTAAAGGAACTGTACAATCTGCTTCCATCTTCTCCTAAACATTTACAGCATTAAAGGGACTGTACAATCTGCTTCCATCTTCTCCTAAACATTTACAGCATTAAAGGGACTGTACAATCTGCTTCCATCTTCTCCTGAACATTTATAGCATTAAAGGGACTGTACAATCTGCTTCCATCTTCTCCTATACATTTATAGCATGAAAGGGACTGTACAATCTGCTTTCATCTTCTCCTAAACATATACAGCATTAAAGGGACTGTACAATCTGTTTCCATCTTCTCCTGAACATTTCCAACATTAAAGGGACTGTACAGTGTACAATCTGCTTCCATCTTCTTCTAAACATTTTCAGCATTAAAGGGACTGTACAATATGCTTCCATCTTCTCCTGAACATTTATAGCATTAAATGTCATCTAAAAGAATACTGTTGTGAATCTGACATGCCACACTAAAGATGTTGGCTGTCCACAGTTCCTTAAATCTCTTTATTTAACTCCATATATATCTCATGATAAAAACCCGGATTTCTGATGACTCTTTAAACTGTGTTATAGTTCTTCCATGATAACTTCAGGTTTTCTCCTAGCTCGGAGATAAACAAATTAATTATTGATCTTGAGAGGTTGGAACTTTGGAGTATCCCTAATCTGGAACTCTTGATCTTGGCATCCAATTTCGGCACTTTTAAAATTGATCTATCATTTAAAATCATGGAGGTTATCTCCACCACGAGATATCACAGAAAAATTTAATTAATCCATAATTCTGCACAAGATGGAGATTAAAGTCTTGACTTCTAAGCTGAAAACTGTCGAATGGAACATACTTAATCCCAATCGGTAAATGAATCTGGAGATTAATAACAAGAGGAGAACATTCATTATTTAATCTGGAGATTAAAAAAAGAGTGGATCAAGGATAAATCCCGATATCCACCATTTAAAAGTTCCCAGCTCTGAGCAATTAATTTTATTTTTATCTCAGATGCAGCAAAGCACATATTTCAATCACGTTGTGTATTGTATTATAAAATAAAAATCAAAACTATTTCAATTCTTGTTTATGTAAAATAGCTTTAACATTCCTTTTGAGGTTACTTTAAGAGCTTATTCTGGTAAATTATGAAGATAAATATTATGTAATATTTCTTTAAGCCAACCCCGGAAGAAACTTTGAACCTTCTTGATCTTCGCTATATCCGGATCCTCTCCTGATTCCTCCGGATCCGTCTCGCTTCCGGATCTGAAACAAAACAATGATTATCTGCATCAAACTCGGAAACCAGGAAATACGAATAAATGGAAAGGAAATGGCACTGGTCTGGCATGAGAAAGCCAGTCGCACTGCTTTGCAGACAAGTTCGCTATTGCACACGCACACTCTTTTGGTACAGACACACAACATGACTACAGTCAAGGAAATTGCAGAACAATGGCGTCAATTACAATTAAACTTGAATAACGAGTAAATTATTGTAATCTTTAATAAAAATATATTCTTTGCATGAAAATTTGGCTTTTAGTGTTGACTTAAATATTTGAACAACATATTACATGTATATTAAACCTATTTTAAGTAAACAATTAACAAAAAACAAATTTACTCTCCTAGACTGTACAAATACCGAGATTCTTATGTACTGTATATACCTCAGACACACCTTTGGTTCTTAATCACGTACACACACTCTTTTAGTACAGACACACATACATGAAATTTCTGCCCCCTGATTAGCAAAAATAAAAAAATAGTAAATGTAAAGAAAAATCTTTGAAAAGGAGCTAATTACTCGCATCTAAAATGAATTGTCATAACCTCATTATCATTTTCAATCTGTTACATAACATGTCAAACGATGATTTTTTAGTTTTATATATGGCATGGTTTCATGTATTTATGTAATTTGAAGAATTCGATTGATTTGCGAAGATATCTGAGTGGAGGGGCAGGGGGAATGACAGGGACACAGGAATAAAGGGAAAGGAAATGGCGCTGGTCCGGCAAGAGAAAGCCAGTCGCACTGCTTTGCAGACCAGTACAGTAAACTGATACACACTCTTCTGGTACAGACACACAACATGACTACAGTCAAGGAAATTGTAGAACAATGTCGTCGATTATAATTAAATTTGAATAACGAGTAGTTTATTGTAAACTTTAATAAAATTATATTCTTTGCATGAAAATTTGGCTTTATAGTGTTGACTTAAATCTGTAAATAATATATTACATGTATATTAAACATATGTTTAAGTAAACAGTTAACAATAAACAAATGTACTCTCCTAGACTGTACAAATCCCGAGATTCTTACGTACTGTATAAACCTACAGTACAAACCTTTGGTACAGTAAACTGACACACACTCTTTTGGTACAGACACACACACATGACGTTTCCGCCCCCTGGGGAATGAACAGTTGGAAATCAACGACAGGGATGTCCGGGGGGTATTTTCAATGAATATGTATACCCCTGAATTATAGTATTATGTACAGCTTCAGGTTGCACAGATATAAACGAGTAATCCGTTCCTTTGATCGTAAATAGAATGGTTTAAAAAGACATCAATCAAAGACGATCTACTCAGATAGATTCTAGTACAATAGAGGGCAACGTAGAATTTTTAAACTCTCAGTACAGCTGTATTCTGACGTCACAAGTGTAGACTTAGTTTTTATGTTCAACACTTTTTTATTTAATTTTGGTAAACACGTCAGCTATTGTGAGAATATTTTGTTTGTCTTGTTAAATCTGACACTTGTGACGTTGTGTATAATTGGTCCATTTCTCTGTTGCCACGTATTGTACTTGATAATCTATGTGAATCTACTAGATCTTAGAGCAAAAAATAGTTTTTTTTAATCTTTATCTTTTTTCTTTTTTATTTCTATCTAATATGTGTGGAAACATGACAAAAGTTTTTCAATAAAGGCACATCAAATCAGAATATTATATTATGACGTCAATTCTGTTGAAAAAGTGGAATAAAAGGATTTAGTAGCATGTATCCATTATGGTAAGAGAAAGTATAAAAACATAATATTTCATAATCAAACCCTGACAAAAATATCATTTGTGCGTACTAAGTTATAAATGAGGTCATTGTGAAGAAATTAATTAAGTCTTTGACACAAACTCTGGTATTCTAATTCCTATATTATACAACTCAAACTCTGATATCTGTTAGATCTAATAATAAGTTTGAAATATCAAAGGCCGCAAAGATAAAGGGCTTAAAAAATTCCATTTTCAGCAAATTCTGAGTTGCTTTTTAAAAATATATTTCTTTAAAAAAATATTTCCTTTTAAGTTTTTGATTTAAAAAAATTTGTTTAAAATTTAAAATAAGATTTTAAGAATTGGATTATTTTTCAATACAATGCCAGCTTTTAGAATTAATAAAAATGACAAAATGTTTAAATAAAAATGTTAAAAATTTTCCTGGCTGTCTTTTTACCAAATGAAACCATTTGTATTCTGTCAAATTTTGCATGTTTTCAAAAGACTCTTGAGATCAATAAATATATAGACCAGGAACGCCCAACTCAGATATACGCAGATTTGACGCATCAGATATGGCGGTTCCTGGTCTATATATTTCTTGCTTGAGATGTTCAGAAACTAAGCTTGCGTACATAAATTGGGAAGTTGTACGACTTATCTAGCTGTAAAGGGACTGTCAAAAGAGTGTAAAGGGACTGTAAAGGGACTGTAAAGGGACTGTAAAGGGACTGTAAAGGGACTGTAAAGGGACTGTAAAAAGACTGTAAAGGGACTGTGAAGGGACTGTAAAGGGACTTTAAGGGACTGTAAATGGACTGTAAAGGGACTGTAAGGGACTGTAAAGGACTGCAAAGGGACTGTACAGGGATTGTAAAGGGACTCTAAAGGGACTGTAAAGGGACTGTAAAGGGACTGTAAAGGGACTGTAAAGGGACTGTAAAGGGACTGTAAGGGGACTGTACAGGGACTGTAAAGAGAATGTTGACGTAATTTTAGGTAGAGTTATGCCATAGATCAATTAAATAACAGATAGAACACTAGATGTCGTCCTTTCAAGATTTCAAGGAAACTCGTTTGCAAGAAGCTCAGAGGAGTTTTGCGCAGTCAGCGTAGAACAGGCTCTCTCTGTCTTGTAAACACCCAGTTTTCAGTGAGAAAAAAAAGTATAAAGAAATTGAGTCTTTGCCACAATCTCTGATTTTATACATATTTGCAACCCAAATACGTATACTTCAAACTATGAATTCTGTGAGATCAACTAATATTAGTTAGAAATATCAAAGCTTATACCATCAGGTTACAAAGATTATAGGGACCAGAAAGTTTGAGTTTATGGAAAAACGCTATTCCTTATCGGAGTCCTTGCATTCATGTAGATTTTATATTTTAGTTATAGGCAAACCAAGTTAACAGAACGAAAAGAAAAAAGAAGGAAGGAGAGAAACGATGACAAGAAGAAGAATCAAATCAGAATTTGTCTGTATCTACTGTATCCAATTTATATGATTAAATATTCAAAAATAATAAATTGTTTAAAAACAACAACAAAAAAACATGCAAAGCTAGATAAAAAGGAGAAATGAAAGTAACCGTCCATATTAAAAGGACTGTAACTCAAGTTATGACTTTGAATAGTCCAATGAACATGAGGAAGAATAAGTGTGCAATGTGAACAGACCCATTAACTTAACAAGTGAATTAATGTACTTCAGTATTGCTTTAATGTCGTCTTCTTATTCTAAAGTTTTCTGGTTATCACTGTAGTGTTGATTAAACCCATGATTATAATGTTCAAACTCATGTTGAGGGTAGAATTCCC